TCTCCTTTGTTAAGAGGAGTGTTGTCCCTCATTTTTGAAGTATGTATATCACCGTTAGGTAAGCTATTTATAATTGGAGCTCACTGTAGTCCTTAATACATCAATGCATCAAGTCATCAACATTCTTCTTTCTCATTGTTCTACACATAGCTTCCACTTCTCCAACCGATGATAGATTGGTAACTATTTGCCACCTGCCTGACTTCAATCCTTTATTTAATTGTGTTTCCAGAGCAATTTCTTTTTATTTCTGGTCAGTTCTTGTTTTCCGGTTTTCTCCCTGGCAAGTGGTGGCTGTTTCACTCCAATCTCTCTCTCTCTCCAGTGCTCAGATCATGCCGCTGCCGGACACATTGTTGCCTCCAGAGCTACTTCCTTAAATGATAGCACAATTATATCTGTTCATCTTGCTACATTGAAACCTTTTAGAGATCTTGTTTCCTCATAGCTTGCTTGAAGCCCATTTGCTAGTTCTGTGTTGCTCAGTTTGCTCATAGCTTGTACAAAGTCAGTTCACAGGTTCTCTCTTGTTCAATTCACCACGGTTTTATGTTGTTCAGTTCACTGTGGTTCTGTGTTGCTTGTCTCTTTCTTGCTGACTGTTGGAGTAGTAACCGTTTTGTGCAAGTTGGATATGCTCCAACTTGAGAGGCAGTGTTAATAGTAGTGTTGTCTGATGGAGTAAAGAGGCAGGGAATTTGGTGAATAGAAACTTGAAAATTTGAATTGCAAGTTAACAGGAAATAGACCAAGGAATACCAAAATGGTATCCTCCAGCAAGTTCTGCAACTTGCCCCTCAGGTGCTAGCTGATTACTTCACTAAATTTCTCCCCCCGCCTCCCCAAGGAAAGAGACCTAATTTATAATCTGCTACAAGGCAATAAATAAGTAAAAGTACTAATCAAGGATTACAAAGTGAATCAATTATTCTATCCCTGATTTTATGCTAATCATGCTGATTGATTATTTCCTTCCATCATGCTAATCAATCATATAGCTTGATTGTTTCCTTCCATTGCCATATGCTTTCCTTCTGTAGCATTGGTCTACCTCCTAGAGTGGTGTGTTTCATTGTCCCATGTTCAAAAGTTCAGAGAAGTACCTCAATGAGTCAATGTATTCTGAAAGCTCAATCTCTCTTATTTCTTGAAGTGAATGCACCACCCTATAAAGACATGCTAGAGGACTTATAATAAGGAAACACATTTCCATATACCTTCCGACTCAAATCCCTTATCTCCACGCTTCCTAATATGTAAAGGTTTCATATTTGTATATATTCCATAACATCCCACATTGTTAAGGTATGCTCTTTTCCAACCTTTGGACTTTCAGTCCTTCATAACTTCATTTATACATCCTTCATGCGTGATCTTACTTTATTGTGCCTTTTTTTGGTTTGTCTTTTATCTATTAGTTATTGATATTTTTTAATGCTCTGGAGTGAAAATATTTTGGTAGTAATGCCATATTAATGTAACTTTCATCATGGCCTTTCACTGCATGTTTTGTCTTTCTAAAATAAAGGTTGTACTAAAGGAGATTGGGAAAAGGTGGTTCAGCCTCTTAAGTTCGTTCAAGGGTACAATGATATTGTGCTATTATCTCAAACTGTGGGCTTACAGGTAAGCTACATTGAACTCAATTAGACTCAGATAGTCAGATGCTAAAAACAAAATATAATTCTAAAGTTTCTAAGTGGGAGAGTTTTCTTCAAAGCCAACAGATACATATTTTTGGAAACCATGCACTTGTAAACTCCATTCAATTCAAGATAAACTCTGGAACACCTGCTTCCATTACCCAAAGTTGATTTAGTATTTGGTACTTGTTTCTTCTGTTGAGAATCTTTGCATTAAGAATTTTTTTTTTTTCTTTTTCTTGAAATAGTATACCATAGTTATACTATTGCTTTTGGTATTATCCTGGCTAACTTTTATTTGAGATTCATTATTTAAAATTCTTTCTGTTTTTTTTTTTTTTTTTTTTTTTTTTTTTTTTAATCTCCTACTTCACTGCAATTCTGATTAACTAGTGGTTATTGTGAGTGCTTCAGAACTATGGTGCTTTCTTAGAGAAAGATGGGGCAGGTTTTAAGGGTCAAGTGAAGCTAACTGGGTGGAAAAATGGGGATATTGACATCACAAACTCATCATGGACATACCAGGTATCTTCACCTTTCTCATTCAGAACTTTCATGATGATAATCATGTGGCAACAACCACAAATCAGGCATAGTTGTTGGAATAGCCGAAATTCATGTTGTAGTTTTGTTCTCTTTTTCGTTTCATAAGTTGGGAGGCTGAACAGGAACCAATTCTCTACAGGTTGGTCTTAAGGGAGAGTTCTTGGAAGCATATGCTGGCAAGGATAATGAATATTTCAGATGGAAGGAGTTTCCCCATGATTCAACTCCACATATCTTTTCCTGGTATAAGGTTAGTTAAGACAGTCCTAGCCCTGCAATAACTTTGCCTATGTTTACTTCTTGCAAAAAGTAGCATTTATTTGGCAATAGTTGTTCATAAAGGGAAAAGGGTGCTATGGACTGATGGGTTTACTTTGTAGGTATTCTGTTCAATAGTTTTCCATGGCCTAACCATGTATGTCTCTTACCTTGTAAATATTTTTGTCATTTCTTCCTATTTCATTTGCTCCTGCTGAGGATGCTTTTCCCATGTTTCTTGCTTTGTGGGTCGGATCAGTGGGTGGTAGTGGCAATTAGTGTTGAATGAAATGACAACGTCAATGCTAATATATGCATATCTGCCTAGTTTCTTCAGCTTTTGTCTTGGTCATCATTTTAATACTTTTGGAAGACTCATGTCATACTTATTCATTTTGTCTTTACGTGATGCAGACTTATTTTGATGCTCCTGTTGGGACAGATCCAGTTGCCATTGATCTAAGTGGCATGGGAAAAGGTCAGGTTTGGGTTAATGGTCAGCATATTGGGAGATACTGGAGCTTAAAAGCCCCAGAAGATGGATGTAACACTTGTGATTATCGTGGAGCATATGATTCTGATAAATGCGTGACGAACTGTGGGCAAATTACTCAATCTTGGTATGGCTCTTTTTACTGCCTTTCTTGTTTTCTGATTGCCTTCACATAATCTACATTTTTTTTGGCAAAGAAGACATGGATTGTAGACAGAATAGTACTTTTTAGCTTATTCAAGCCTGTAACTTAGAATTGATTGTGGATTATTTACAATACATACTCTTAAATTATAATGATCCATGGAAATCTTTTGGAAAACTATGTTTTGATGATTTCCAGGTACCACATTCCGAGGTCATGGCTTCAGCCATCAAATAACTTACTTGTCATCTTTGAGGAAACCAATAGAGCGCCTCTTCGTATTTCAATTGAACCTCGTTTCACTTCAACAATTTGTTCTAAAGTGCGACAGGACCATTATCCTCCTTTAAATGCATGGTCTGATGGGCAATTATCCAGCAATAGTGTCGCACCAGAATTGCATTTGCAATGTGATGATGGGCACACAATTTCCTCCATAGAATTTGCAAGCTATGGAACTCCACAAGGCAACTGTCAGCAGTTCTCTCAAGGCAACTGCCACGCTGCAAGTTCCTCCTCCGTGATTTCTCAGGTATGTAATTCTGGCCAACAACTTAAGAGATAAGCTAGTGGTTGCCCTTTAGACTTTTCAGTTTTCATCACCGAGTGCTAGATAATATATATCTACTTTTAGAAAAACTAATCGAAAAGAAGATTTTGATAGAATAAGAATTAAGAAGTTCTATTCTTGATGGTTTGAGTTTGGTCTGATCACATTTTCAGGCTTGTTTGGGAAAGAATAGCTGCTCTATACAGGTATCTGATGCCATCTTTGGAGATCCATGTCGACATGTCATCAAGACTTTGGCTGTCCAGGCAAAATGTTCTCCCCCCGTTGACACTGGCTTTTCGTATATAGAATGAGTGACTAGGAGCTGGGGGGGGGGGGGGGGGGGGGGGGGGGGTGGTTGGTTATGAAAAGAACAACAGAGGTGGGGTTAAGATTTCTTGTGAAGTAGGAAAAGTGTTAGCTCTATTGTGATCCCAACATAAATAATAATGCAAATAAGAAGATTTGGTAATACCTGTACATATACTGACTGCCATTCACAGCAAAATATGCCCCTCCATAATTGGTCATCATAGTGTTCATTTCATTTAATTTCAAATAAGTTCTTATTTTGATAAACATTTGGGATGTTTCTGATTTTTTGTACCATCTTGTACAATAGTTAGAATTGTTATTTATTTTGTTATGATGTAATGTGGAGACTGGTCTGTGACATAAATTTTCCACCCTACCTACCTCTCCTCTCTTATTCTTCACAAAACATCCCAAAATAGAACTTTATAAGCAAATTGTCTCGTACACTTGTATACCAAAATAATATAGTTAAACATTTATCTTAACTTTGATACCAAAATTTTGTGATTTTTCTCTTCAGTTTTTATATCAAAATTGTGTTTTTTTTTTTTTTAAATATTATTTTACTAACAAGTGATTCTTAATGATTTGTTCCTTAAAAATCCAAATACAAAAAGGCCTAGGTTATAGTTGCTTATCATGACTTGGCAAATTACATCATGCAATTACTCTCTCATTGGCAAATTACACTTGTCTACTATTACTCTCTCATTGTCTGCAATTTCCAACATCTTTGCATGCATGTTTGAGGAGGTTCAAAATGGAATGTGGAGGAAAAATCCAATTGGGTAAACTCAAAAACCATTGAATGATCTTAATAATTGGGTAAACTCAAAAACCTGGAATATTACTAATGTTAAGTCTTTTCCTTGCCTTGAGCATTTAATTTCGAAAATGTGCTGCAACTTATAGGGAGTGCTCAGGTGCCTTCTAGTTTGGCAGATATTTCAACACTGAGAAAGTAATCTCTGTGAAAATTGACTTATTACAGAGTTGTTCACAGAATGCATCAACTTAAAAGAGGCTTTGTTTGTATTTGTCATCTGCTAATCTACACCAAGAAAAAAGAGCATAAATATACCAACAACATTTGTACAGTTACATATTATTCTATTTCCAAATTTTACACTAATGATACAAAGAATAAAATTTATTGAGGTGAAGTAAATGAATTCACATATAAAATACCCCTCACAACATTACAAGATTCTAGTACCTAGTTCAAAAGATGAAGCCATAATGGGTATGGTGGACAAAGGAAAGAATGCTTGCACTTGAAAGCTAGCCATACACAAAACCCAAACTTCCAAGCGAAATACTGATATGCAGTATACATGGATCACATTACGTCTATTCTTCCATTAGGAGCTTTATCACCTTAGCCTCTAATCCACGAAAAGCATGAACACCCCTAGTAGAGAAGAGTACATTATGTGAAAAAAAGAGAAACTTGAAACACCTTAGGAGCTTTGTAGCCATAGCTACTAATCCATGAAAGCATGAATAGTCATAGTAAAAATGAGTGCGTTACGCAAAAGAAGCGAAACTTGTAAAACACTACTTGAGAAACACTCAATAGTCAATATTCATATTGCTTGTAAGCCATGTCCGATAAAGATTACAACTATGGTGTATGTTAATCATTAAAAAAAAAAAAAAAAAAATCCATAATCAACACCAAGTTGCTTACGAATTGTTGACTTAAAACAAGCTACAAGTGTTTGTATAATCTATAGTCCATGATCTTTGCCAAGCAATCTGATCAAAGTGCCCATTTGGTGAATTTATGATATTAGATTTTTATTTTTTTTTGAAAAGAGAAATATATATCATTCAAGAAGCAGAGAGGTCACGAAGTACAGCAGATGAAAGAAAACAAGGACCGGAATCAATTATTTACATGTTCAAAAATATTATAGATTAGAGTGTTATAGACAGTTTTTAGTTTATTTAAACCACTACAACCTCAAGGTTCACTAAGATTTTCAAAGTCAAGAATCATAAACCATAATCATAATCTATAAATATATAATCGAGCAAATTGTACCTTATAATCTAATCTATAGCCATTAATTCAACCAAACAAGCTCTAAGAAACTTTACCAAACCCCACCTTATGGGGCTTTAAGTAGAATGCAAGACAGATGCAAAGAAAGCCAGAAGTACAGCATACCTTACTATTTCCATTTCCATATCGCTTCTCACTGTTTGAATAAGATGGTTCAGTTGGCATACTAGGTACCTTTTCTGCCCCACTCTGCTTTTCCTCTCGTACCTTCTCAAATACTTGAGTATACTCTTCTGCTGATGCAGGATCGGTTTCATCCCAATCACCAAATTTGGGAACAGCAGGACCATGATCAGGCTGCAGTAAAATTACGGTTATTGGCCATTAGTACAATTGAAGCATGTGCTCCATCACAACTAAAAGCCTAAGCTGATAGTTGGATTGCACATTAATGGTTATATGCTCAACAAGTACTACAAATAGTTTATGGTACTCTTGTATTCAAGTTTCTGATAAAATGTATGAGGTGAGGGAATGAGAAATGGCATTACCGTGTCATCATCTTTTGTAATTGATCTCAACCGGGATCTTCCAGGGGTGAAGGGAGGTACACCATGGCCACCTTCAGATGAACCCTTTCGTTCCCACGAAGGAGAGGAAACTCCACCTCCTTTCACTCCAGTCCTTACATGGAAATGAGGGTGCAGTGGTGAATGTTCATTGCTGTGGTCAGACCCCATACTCTGACGGGAGGCTTTCTTTGTGGTTTCACCAGCACTTAAGCCCCCATAAAGATGTTGAGGCGACTCAAAAGGAGTTTTTCTTGCAGCATTTGCATTACGAAGGGAAGAATCGGTATTTCTCAAGTATCCTTCATCTTGATTCAGCTGCCGTGCATGCCTTGGTTGCAACGCCTCTTGTCCCTTTTGTTCGGATTCTAATTTCTCATTTTGCAATTTTACGCCATGTTGATGATGAGGTGAGCCGGTTGATCTAGCATCCACTCTCTTATGACCTTTAGGTTCTGCTTCAGAATCTTCTTGCAGATTTTTAGGATTCATCTTGGAACCCTTTTTAGTTTTTCTAGTATTTTCGAAATAGACTGTGTACGGGACATCTCCTTCACTTTCCCAGTTGCCAAAAGCTGGGATTGGTGAATGCTGTTGCTGCAAATTGGAACGATAAATACTTTAAAAAGTATATGCGCAGTGGATAGACTAAACATTCAGCTCAGGTAACTTCATAGCAATAGAACAATTATAATCCAACACTATTCAGTAGCAAACCCGATCATTTTTCCCTTTCCATAGTAAGGATAGTAAAGCTTCAAACTTATTTATCCAACGGTTTTTCCTTGATAGTTCCTCAGAAAGGATGCCATAAATTGATTTATAGACAAACTCATATTCCTAATCCATATATGAGACAAACTCAACAAATATAAAGATATTGGACTTGTTTCTTATTCCTTTTTGGGCAATGAGGAGGGGAAATGAGATGCAATAAAATATGTCATATCTCTTTGCTTACATGTATGTATTATTAAATAGTCTTCAGCCAAACATGTGATCCAGCTAAACCCACAAGCACACAATTCATTTGGCACAAAGAACAACTTTAATTTAGAAACCCTCATCTTCAAAATTAAGAACTACCCAAGACTCAAATAAGGCTTAATTCCAACATAAACAAAAAGGAAAGGAAAAAGATTAACTAAAGAATATGGATCAGAAAATTTATCAGAAACTACGAGACAGAAATAGAATGGTAGATAGTTTCATTCAGCAGCAAAGAATGCATAGATAGATCAAACAGGAACTGAAAACGTATACTCACTGCCATTTTGTAGGAAATTAAGGTTCTTTCACCTCTTCAAGTGCAGTAGTTTAGAAAGAGAGTGATATGATATGGGTAGCACCTCAGGATCTCTCCCCTATTAATTGGTCACTGGAGCGGTGGAGCCAAGTCGCCATGGAAGACCGAGACACAGCCGTGGAGACTGGAGAAGAGAGAAAGAGAGAGAGAGGGCGTAGAAGATGACGAGTTGACTGGAATTTTTTTAAAAGAAAATCATTTTAACTAATAAAATTTAAGTCAAAGATTTAGACTTTGTTTAGTAAATGGCTTAACTGATAGTTGTTAGCTGATTGTGTTAATGAATTTAATTAGTTAATAACATTAATTGATTGTAAAAAATTGTTTGAATTGATAAATTAGTTATTAATTGATAACTGATTACATGTAAAATGACTTTATCAAAAAGCTTATCGAAAAAATTACTTTCAACAATTTTAACATTTTGAAACAATAAGTTGTTACAAAAAGTTAATTAATTAAATATTTATATTAACTATTTAACCAAATCAAAGTATAATGGTCAAATAAATCAAAATAAACAACACTAAAGTATCATTTTAATTCTACTATAATCAAGTTCATTTGAGAATATACATATCTATATGAGTTAGGCTATTTAGTTTCATTTTATACACATATCATTTTTATTCTATTACAAATTTATTTAACAATATACATATCTGTAACGTGATACGTCATTGATTCAGGATAATAAAGTGATTTCTTTTAATTAAAAGAAGCGGTGTAAACTCTGGTGATGGTAGATTATGGAGGAAGGCTTTGAGTTTGGGTTATTTGAGCCTCTAGATTATGGTTTTGGTTGATGGTCTTATTAGTCTTGCTAGTTTTAAACTCTCCATAGAAATAGGAGACAAACCCCCATAGATTGAGGGCAAGAGAAATGCCCTTGACGGAGTGAAATTTCTCGCCGTAGAAGACGACGCCCAAGATCTCGGTGACGGAAAGCAAAGAGGCGATTACAATGCCGGACAACAATGATGAACCATAGCATATCACACCAACGGCTCCGATGAAAAAGAATTGCCAAAGGATAGCACTCCATATTACCACCACATAGTATTTCGCTTCTCCCATTTCGAATCCCCTTGCCTCCTTTGGAATTGCCTGCCAAATCAATATAATGCATTATATTGAATTGCCTCCTTATTTTGATTTTTAAAAATATATCCTCTATTCCGTTTTTTAAAAATAAAAATAAAAATATAGCGGATCAACCGGAAAAAGATCAACATATATGTTTAACATATTTCAACGATTTTGTTGGTGGATGACAAAAATGATCATGCAAAGATGCGCCCCTATCTAGATGATTTCGTAATTGTGTTCATCGACGATATTTTGGTCTACTCTCGGGATCACGAAGAACACAAGAAACACCTACCTCCGAACGGTGCTGCAAACGTTAATGGAAAAACAATTGTACGCTAAACTCTATCACCTCCCATATAGGGGAGCAACATGACATGGTATCATTGGACTACAAGATCCTTGGTATCTCTCACTACTTTGTTGCTGGTGCATTTCATGTGAACATATATAGCATGCATTAAAAGTGTATTGATAAATATGTCCAGGGATAAGTATCCCTCTCCTACCTAAGCAGTAGGGGACTGACCAAATGGTTTGCTCCATTCAAATGGGTGGAGATCGAACCCCTAACTTCATGCTTTAAGGGACGAGATGCTAAATCACTACGATTATAATGTTAGTTTAAAAATATAATAAATAATCATTAGTAAAAAGGGTAGAGGAAATTTCAATTTTGGTCCTATGACTATAGGGGTCTTGTTAATTTCAGTCCCTGACTTTTAAAAGTGTCAATTTAGTACCTTTACTATGTAATTTTTGTCAATTTTGGTCACTCCGGCCAAATTTTGCCGGAAAATTTTAATTATTAAAATAATGAGGGTATTTTGATCATTTCACATCTTTTTTCTTCTTTCCAGGCGAGTCCGTCCCTTCCTCTCCCGTTTTTGACGAATGAAATGAACTAAGATGATGGGGAAAGGAGGCTTGATGATATTAAAGATAAGGTTTACAGGGAGAAAGAACGCCGGAAACGGAAAAGAAAAGGATGGACTCGCCGGAGAAGAAGAAAAGAGGCGTGAAATGACTAAAATACTCTTATTATTTTAATTATTAAAATTTTCCGGTGAAATTTGGCCGACAATTTGACCGGAGTGACCAAAATTGACAAAAATTGCATAGTTAAGGTACTAAATTAACACTTTTAAAAGTTAGGGACTAAAATTAACAAGATCCCTATAGTCATATGACCAAAATTAAAATCTCCTCAAAAAGGGTATATTATAGTATTCTCACATGTATGGGAATAACAAAAGGAGATACTCATTCATTAAATTCTATCCGAATTTGAAAAACTTCAAAACTATCTAAATTTATTCCAAACTTGAATGGATGTTACTTAAATTTATTCCAAACCCATTAAACATTATCTTCTAAACTTGTTCAAAAACTCATGATAAAAATTCAATTTATTATTTAACTTGGTCTGATACATAAATGATAAACCATCTTATATCAATTTGTATAATTCAACAAAATTTTACAATAAATGTAAAAGAATAAATTTGACAAATCATTAAAAAAATACATACAAACAATGCAACAAAACTAGAATCCTCCACCATTTGCCTCATATTCCTATTTACACTGCACACATATATATATATGTATTGACTCACTACTGTAGGAATAATTGATCGACCAATTAAGTGCCGGGTCCATGTTATCTTAAATTATATGGAAAAAATATTCGCGGCCCCGGTTGTAGACCACTGACCACGCCTAACTTTTTTTTAATTTATTGCCAAAATTCCTTTTCATCACAAGAAAAATGCTGTTTCTACTCTTAACATTGTAAAAAAAAAAAGATTGTCTGTTTGGTAAATGACTGTTGGCTGATAGTTAATTGAGTTAATTAGAAGGTATAACTAGTTGATAATATTAGTTTATCGGATAAAGGTGTTTAGTAAATTAGCTATTAACTAATAGTTGTTTAGTATAATTTCTTTTCTCGAAAAGTTAATTGAAAAAATTGTTTTGAGTAGTTTTTTGAATTTTAGCATTTTAGAGTTACAAAAAGTTAATTAACCAAACAATTAATAGTAATTAATAAGTTAAAATTGACTGATAGGTTAACTATTTATCAAACTGCAGGGCCAATGTATCTTTTCGTTATACGATTTGTACTACTTTATCAAAAGCGGAAAGAAAGAAGAACAAAATAGTAATTGCCAAGAACTTTGTGCTCAATTGGCATTGCTCTCCTTCAAGAAGGTTACATGATTAAATTCCGGTGATGAGGTTATTGACTCTTACTTTGAAATACAATAGATAAAGAAAGTATATTGAACAGATAGTATATTGTAATAGAATCGATAGTACTTAAAGAAAATAGTAATAAAAAAAATGTATCAGATATTAAAAAAATAATAATAATAAATCAAAATTTAGTACCCCTTATAATATACGGAGTATATAAATTGATAAAAAAGTGTGAGATTGATGGTTACCTGGAAATCCTTGTTTATAATCATGCCAATGGTACAAAAAGCAGTAGAAAAGAAACACATCACCAACTGGATCTCCAGAACCAACGTATAGGTGATCGCCTGCTTTGCCTGCTTGTACACCAACTCTATCCACGGCAGAATAAACCCGTACAAAAGTGCCGCTAAAAGCGTCAGAACAAACCCCAGAATATACTCCCCGGTGCTCTCCCCGCCGGGGCGGTCGCTGCTGGCGCCGAAGGCCAAAACTCCGGCGCCCATGGTCAACAACACGATCGCGTTGACCGAGTAGGCCGTGAACTTCTGCTTCACCAGCAGAAAGGCGAAGCCGGCGGTGAAGGCGAGGTGGGTGGCTATGATAAGGGCCTCGGTTGAGATGGGGAGCTTGGCCACGCCGTAGGCGTAGAGGTAGTCGTCGAGGCCGGTGAGGACGCCGATGGCGGCGGCGGAGGTGAAGACCTTGGGCGTTATGAAGAAGAGTTTTGCGGTTGGGCCTCGCCGGCGGCGGCGGAGAATATATGCGGCGGCTAGAGGGATTAGAGTGAGCGGCCAGGCGGCGGTTATGAGGCCGCTTGAAAACCATATCCGGTTGCCGCCGCGGAGGAAGTAGAGGCGCGAGATGAGAGCGCCGCCGCAGTTTCCTATGCCCAGTATTACGCAGTTGAGGAGGAGTATGAATTTCCGCCTCCACGTGGTGGACCTATCCTCAGAGGTTTCCATGCCCCAAGTTGATCAGCTTTGTAGCTAGCTTTCAGTCACACACTGAAATATCACTAATGGAAGATCAGAGATACTTATTATCCCAGGGAATCATAATGTTTCAAGTTTAACTTTTAGTGAGAGCCGTCTATGTGTATTAACCTTCTAAGTCAATAAATTATTATAAATAATTTAGAATGTCTTACTTCTTTATGTTCTTTTGTAGGTTAGGATCATAACACCAAATTGACTAAGTGCACACTCAAGATTAGTCGCTACCGATTTTCTTTGTTACCCAAAAAAAAAAAAAAAAAAAAAAAAGAGTTTACTACACAATCCATAAAAGTGCATTCTATAATATGCAAAAATGTGAATAAAAATGTGCGAACTTTAAAAATGCACCATGCAAAACTACAAAGTGCATCAAATTTTGAATTTAAGGCTCTGTTTGGCAGAGCTTATTTAGGAGCATTTAGCTTATTTTAAGCTACTAATAAGCTATAAGCTCTGTTTGGTAATGTTCTCAAAATAAGCTCCTAGCTTAAAATAAAAGATTATTTTAGAACGCTACCTAAGGTAGCGTTTCAATACCCTTTTATCTTATCCTTTATCCGCAACTTTCATCGCAAATATTATTATTATTATTATTATTATTATTATTATTATTATTATTATTATTATTATTATTATTATTATTATGAGATTTGCAACAATATTGCTACTTCATTATGAGATGCTAAATCATGATTATGCTAATAGTTTTATTTTAAAATGTTAATTTTTTTTAAAGACAATGTTAAATTTTAATAGGTAAACAAACTAATTTAAATTTTATAAAGATGTCCTTTTTAGTTTTTTTTACCTTTATCAGCTTATCAAAAAACTAATTTTACCAAACACTGTTAATCATAACAGCTAGCTTAACAGCTCTTCAATTTTTAACTTTCAGCTCCTTTTCAACTTTCAGCTCCTAACTTATAGCTTTTCAGTTAGGTTTTCCAATCAGAGCCTAACTTTTACATATCATACGGCTTATTTAGTAATTGTGTGTGATAGCAGCTGCTATAGGATTGAAGATGTAAGGTTAACCTCAACCCAACAAGTTTATCACTTGGTAGGTGAGGTGGTAACCATTATTTTTATTTTTATTTTATTCTTTTTATTGTCACGTTTTAGCAAGCTTTCAATTCACTACTTTACTATTAGTTGTCATTTAGCAGCAAAAGCTGTTCTTTTAATATTTTATTATTATTTTCTGTTTGGTAAAATGACTGTTAGCTGATAGCTGTTAGCTGATTGTGTTAATTAAAGAGTATAAATAGTTGATAACATTAGCTGATTGTAAAAAAGTGCTTGGTAAATTAGCTGTTCATTGATAACTGTTTGGAGGAGCAAATTAAAAGACTTATGTGAGTAGTTACCTGCAGGGGTCTGCGTGCATAGGGACAACTGGCAAGCAACTCACTAAGAGAGGTTAAACTTATTTTCCTAAATGCTTACGAGTTACGAGAGGAATCCAATCAACGAGAGATTATGATTGGGGTGGTTGCATTGTGGGAGTTATCTAGAAAGTAGAAACCACTTTAATTTATTAACTTGGGTTAATTAGTGACACACATTTGGAGCTTGGGCTTATTATTAGGAATATTATGATTGCGTATAGGAATATCGTAATCTGATTGTATTCTTTAATATTCTTCTCAAAATGTTAAATCTCCAATCCTAAAATTATATATAGAGGTTCACATTATTATTGTACAAACACAAATTAAAATACATGAAACAATTTACATACTCTCATATACAGAGCTAGCTCTAGTTTCTAGACATGTTTGTCCAGGACCATTGCACAAGGCCTTTTAATACATCATATGGATATGTATATATACTATATAGCAGGTTGCAGCCGACTATAGTATATATACATTTAGTTATTTTTTTTTTCAATTGGCAATTGTAAAAATAAAATAAAAATTATATACATATATTATATGACCTATTGTATAGTATATTGCGTATATACATCTAGTTTTTTTTTTTTTTTCTTAATTGGCCCCTAACATTTGGGGGCTCAATTGTAAAGAAAAAAATAAAAAAATTATATACATATATTATATGAGATTATATGAGGCCAGAACAATATTGCAGTAATCATGCATTTACAGGAACGAAACATCATCATAATCTTTTATTACTCTGATATTCTGGTAATTCAATCCCTAATTTCTATTTTTTTCTAATCTCTTTTCCTATTCTTTAATCTCTATTTTCCTAATCTCTTTTCATATTCCCTAATCTCTAGGTCATAGGTTTTTCCCTCAAGTTCTGGTAATTATTAATTAAATCTTATTAACTTAATTGTACATATTATTTGATTTATTTTACAATTATTATTTATGTTATGTACGCAAGAATACATGAAGAAGGAGAAAAAATATATTAATGGTGTATATTAACTTGCAGTGTAGTAAGGATTACATGGCATATATACAACTACATTCTAACGGTAAAAAATAATAGAAAAGGTAGAAATGCATGTAATTAAGCTATTTACCTAAAAGGCTACATTAATAATATGGAAATAATATAACTAAATATATACATAATTAATATAGCAAATATTCTTCTACACTCCCCCTCAAGCTCAAGGGTGGTACATGAGCTTGGAAGTGATGGCGTCGAACGGTTGAGGAAGGAGGCTCTTCGTAAATATGTCGGCTAGTTGTTGATTAGATGGAACGAAAGTAGTGCGTAGTGTGCCGTCATTAATTTTCTCTCGTACGAAATGACAGTCGATTTCCACATGTTTAGTCCTTTCATGAAAGACTGGGTTATTGGCAATGTGGAGAGACGCTTGATTGTCACAATGCAATTGTGCAGGATGAACTGGTATATCTAATTCTGATAGGAGTAATTGAAGCCAAGTGATTTCACTAGCTGCATAGGCCATGGCACGATATTCAGCTTCAGCAGAGGATCGTGATACTGTTGTTTGCTTCTTTGTTCGCCAAGATAGGGGACTTGTTCCTAGAAAAGTGCAGTATCCCGTAGTTGAGCGTCGTGTGGTTGGACATGAAGCTCAATCAGCATCACAATAGGCATGTAACTTTAAAGAACTATGTGTAGATAAAAGAATGCCAAGATCTGGTGATTTTTTTAGATAACGTACGACCCTAAGCGCGGCTTGCCAATGCATGTCACGTGGTGCAGACATGAATTGCGAAAGGAGATTAACTGCATAAGTGATGTCTGGCCGAGTGACTGTGAGGTAGAGTAGGCGACCAACGAGTCGTCTATATGCGGAAGGGTCTGCAAGAAGTTCGCATGTGTTAGGAGTGAGTTGGTGACTAACCTCTATAGGAGTTGAGGCGGGTTTACAAGCTAACATTCCTGTATTCGAGAGAATTTCAAGGGCATATTTCCTTTGATTTAAAAAAATTCCAGCAGAGGAACGTGCAACTTCTATCCCAAGGAAATACTTCAATGATCCCAAGTCCTTTAGTTGGAATTGATGCGCTAGGTACTGCTTGAGGATAGTAATGATGGTTGGATCATTACCTGTGATAACAATATCATCAAAGTAAACAAGCAAAATAGTTAGAAAATTTTCACGTTTGTAAGTGAACATGGAATAATCTGCTTTAGATTGTACAAAACCAGCGTTGGTGAGGGATGTGGAAGAAGTCGTGAACCATGACCGTGATGCTTGTTTGAGCCCATAAAGAGATTTGTGGAGATGACAAACCCGATTCTCCCCCTCGCCTAAAACCTGGAGGGACTTGCATATAGACTTCTTCATGAAGTGTTCCGTGAAGGAAATCATTAGAGACGTCAAGTTGATGAGTAGCCCATCCTCGTACGGCTGCGATGCTAAGAACTGTACGGACTGTGACAAGCTTTGTGACAGGAGAAAAGACATCGGTGAAATCAAATCCTTCTAGTTGAGAGTATCCTTTTGCTACCAATCGGGCTTTGTATCGCTCAACAGAACCATCAGGTTTGTATTTGATACGGTAAACCCATCGACATCCAATAGCGGACTTACCAGGTGGTAGAGTTGTTAATGACCAAGTATTGTTAGCTTCTAGAGCATGTATTTCTTCTTGCATAGCTTTTTTCCACTTAGGGTCAGTTTGTGCAGCAGAGAAAGAGGATGGCTCAGATTCTTTGGTGATATTGTTGATAAAGCAAATGTGATTGGGATTGTATGCTTTAGAGTCAAGAAAATGAGAAATGGGATATTGTGGCGTTGTAGACACATTGCATATGTAGCTAGAAAGGTAACTGGGAGGTTTATGTTGCCTTTGAGATCGTCGAAGGGAGTTTGGTGGTGGTGGTGGTGGAGAATTGGAGCACGGTTGTGCATGTATGGGTGAGTTAGTTATGGAGTGATTGCTTTCAGGAAAAGGTGTTTCTAGAACAACAGGCATATTTGTGGTTTGTGCTTCAATGGGTGGTATAGGTAGTGGCAATATAGGGTTGAGAGTTGCTTGCATAGCTAAAGTAGGTTTATATTTAAAAGGAAAAATATTCTCATAAAAAACAACATCTCAACTCACAAAAACTTTATTAGAGTTAAGGTCATATAGCCTATAGACCTTTTGACCTTGAGGATAACCAATGAAAATGTAACGTTTTGCTCTAGGATCAAACTTATTAGGGTGATTTTGTATGGTAGATGCATAACATAGGCAACCAAAAGCACGTAAGGTAGTAAAATCAGGGGAATGTCCAAAAAGGAATCCAAAAGGAGTTTTATTTTGCAAGACTGGGGTAGGGGTACGAATATTGATAAGATAAGTAGTAGTTAAAACACAATCGCACCAAAATTTAAGGGGCAGTCCTGCTTGAAATCGCAGAGCACGTGCCACATTGAGAAGATGGCGGTTGCGTTCAACAACCCCATTTTGTTGGGGTGTGCTAGGACAACTGAATTGTTGCAAAATTCCATATTGAAGTAAGATATTTTGAAAATCAATTTTTGTGAACTTAGAACCATTATTAGAACGGAAAGTTTTAACGCATGTATTAAAATGATTCTTAACATATGCTAAGAAACGAATAAGCAACAAAAAAACATCAGATTTGTATTTCATCATAAAAATCCAAGTAGCTCTAGAA